GGTTGACACTAACCGCTGAGCCAAACCGGCCAGGGCTCACATAGCTTTATTACAGCATTTGTTATCATTGTTCTATTTTATTATTAGTCATTGTTTAATCTCTTACCCTATTTTGTAAATTAAACTGCAGAGAAAAACACATAGCACAGGTAGGGTTCGGTGCTATCTGTGGTTTCAGGCATCCACTGGGGGTCTTATCCGTGGAGATTTGGATAAGGGGTGACTTACTTAATTCTTAATACTTCAAAGTGCTCACTATGTCTATGATTATTGTCTGGATGTAGGAGGAAATGAGATGAAAAGACTCAGTTTCTACCCTCAAGTTGTTCAAAACAGCCCAGTAGAGTTTGGAAGAGACAGACCGGAAAGCAATTACAGCCACAATCAACACAGCAGCGAAGTGGGAAATCGGCATCCCCACTGGAGGGGTGCTGGGGGAGGGAGAGTCAGAACAGACTTCGGAGAAAGAAGCTTTAAACCGTCTTGAAGGAGGAGCAGGAATTGCCATGTGTTGGGAACAGCATATGCCAAGGTAGAGCTGAGCCACCGTGGGACTTTGGGGACCAGAAGGTGCAGGTGGCTTTTGGAAATCAGATGGGGTGGTGGTGATATCCTTTGGGAAGATCTGGCTTATCGGTCAAGAACTTGGACTCCGGAACCCGGAGTGTAAATAATGGCTTGGGTACATGACCTCTCTTCCTCTTGCCTAGCGCCGTGGCCAGCACAGATTAAATGCTCAGTGAATTTAGCTATCATGATTGATTCTCATCATCACTGACCATGGAGAAGACATGGTGTGGTTTCCAGGGAAGAGTGTTGGCAAGAGCAGGCCCAGCACAGGCCTCCTCACTACCAGCTGTTGAGGGTAAGGCTAAAAACCTGACCTCAGGGTGAACTCCAGGGTTCTCAGTGATGGTAACCGTGAAGAACCTAGTCAAAGGCTGGAACCCCATGGGACAGACAGTGCCGTCCCACGCAGAGCATCCTGCTGTGTCACACCATAGTTCCAAGCCCCAGCAGAGGGGTCTGAAATTGCTAAAAGTCCCTGAATTTGCTTTCAACATGGCTCATCTCAGCTGCAGGAAGATGTCAGGTTAGCACAAAAAGAAGAAAAAAATAAAGGGAAAATGATCTTTTAAACAATTACAGTATCTTTGAAAACAGATATCTGCATGTATATGTTATGGTATACCTAATAAAAATTCCCCGACTTTAATATACCAATCTTTGCTGGGATGGAAACAAAAACTGTAATCCCATTATCACGATAAGCCTGTTCTTTTCCCTAGTAGTGAAATAGCTGCACTCAAACTGAAGAACTTGTGAGAATCTCACTGTAAATTTTAAGTTTAGCAATTACACAATACTATCCTTTGCTCTTTTTTTTCTTTATTGATTTTAGGAAGAGAGGGAGGGAGAGGGAGAGGGAGAGGGAGAGGGAGATGGAAACATCAGTGAGAGACAACATCGGTTGGCCACCTCCTGTACGCCCCCACCAGGGATCAGGTTGTGCCCCCCACACACAACTTGGGCATGTGTCCTGACTGGGAATCCAACCAGCGACCTCTTGGTGCATGGGTTGATGCTCAACCACTGAGCCACAAAGGTAGGGCTATCCTTTGCTTTTATCATTGAATTTTCTAGAATATTTAGTATTTGTTAGGAAAAGAGTTGAATTCGTCTGATATGAGTAATCTGAGATCTGTCAAGGACAGGGCCATTTATAATCCATGTCATTAAAAAGAGGCTGCTTTTGCAAGCAATACTAAATCTAATCCCACTTTGTAACTTCTAAAAATTTGAAATTCACATAGGATAACAGGCTAGCCATTGTAACATCAGCTTAGGCCGTCTCTGTTGCTATACTGCTCTCTTGTGGCGGGTATGAAAACTGCAACCTGAAGATTTTTTTCCCTCCTTCAGTTTCTTGCCGTTTTGCTGTGCTCTACATGTCCTTGTTTATTGCCTTCAAGACTTTCTGGAATAAAGGAAAATCTAAAAAAAGCAAAACGTTATTAGATGGGCAGTGTTGTCTAAGGTTAAAAATGTTTGAAAACTAGTCTGCCTGGGTTCCAGTCCCAGCTCTGCCACTTACCAGCTGTGAAAACCTGGGAGTTACTTAGGCTCCCTACACCCAATTCTTCACCTATAAAATGAAGGTAACGATGGTACCCAGTGTTGTTACGAGGACTGGTGAGTCAATATATGGAAATGTCTAAGATCGGGAGCTGACACATGAGAAGTGCCATTAAATGAGAGCTAAGCCCTGGCCGGTTTTGCTCAGTGGTTAGAGCATAGGCCTGCAGATCAATGAGTCCCGGGTGTGATTCCAGTCAAGGGCACGTATCTCCATTGCGGTCTGTCCCCGGCCCTGGTTGGGGTCATGCAGGAGGCAGTTGATATGTCTCTCCAACATCGATGTTTCTCTCTTTCCCTCCCTCCCACTCTATCTGAAGATGAGTAAAAAAATATCCTCGGGTGAGGATTTTAAAAAAGAGAGAGAGCTAAAGGGTAAGTGGCAGCCTGTTCAGGAATTTCAAAGCCTGTGCTCACGTCCTAGGACACCAGAAGTCTCAGCAGAGGTGAGCCCATGGCCAACTCAATCCTGGTGGCATTGGGATACTAAAATGTGCTTTTGCACAGGCAGGAAATTCATTCTGAAGTAGAACAGATGTTGTCTCCCTTGCCCCCAAAATACCAACTTGAGCACCCTGGCCAGTATGGCTTAGTTGCCTGGAGCGTCCTGTACACCAAAGGGTTTCGGGTTTGATTTCCAGTCAGGGCATCAAATGAGAGGCAGCCGATCAATGTTTCGCAATCTCTCTCTCTCTCTCTCTCTCTCTTTCTCCCTCTCCCTCATCCTCTCTGTAGAATCAATAGATATGTCCTCAAGTGAGGATTTTTTTAAAAATCAACTTGAGCTGTATCAAGAAATATACTTGACAGAGGGTGGTATCTTCCAAAGGAGTCTGCTGGTTGATAGGAAGGGGTTACTCATTTTTAATAAGGAAACTATAAAACTGAAGAAGCAAGCTACCTTGGGAGATAAAAAGCGGGCATTTCATTGTGGGGGGACCCTAATTACAAGGACAAAGGGCAGGGTGAGACACTTACAGGAAGGGCAGGAACGACAGCGACGCAGGAATGGCAGGCAGGCACCAAAGCTACACAGCTCTGCCTGCTGCACCATCACAAATGCTTGTGGCTGCAACAGAAAACCCACAAGGCACGTTTTTCTTGTTAATCTTTCTCATATAACAGGAAGCTGAAGACAGCTCTTGCTGGTGTTGATTCAACAGCTCAAGAGTATCAGGGTTCACATCTCTGTGATCCGAAGCCTATTCCTCGTGGTCAGAAGATAGCTGCATGGCAACTCCTAAATGGAAGGCGGCCAAGGAGAGAGGGGGCAGAGAGGAGGGCTAGGCCACCAGCTCGCTACCACAAGAAAACTGTGAAAAGACTGGGCTTTTCTTCTTTTGTTGTCAATCCTTACCCAAGGATATTTCTCCAATGATTTTTAAATACAGTGATACCTCGGTTCTCGAACACCTCGGATTTCGACCAAATCGGTATTCGACCAGGAGATTCGAGAAACTTTTGTCTTGGAATCCGAACAAATATTTGGAACTCGAACTTCCGAGATGAGCCGAGTTGAGCCGAATGGCGTTCATTCGGCCCAGCGCGCCTTGCTTGCGTCATCAGTGTGAGTGCAGAGAGTCACGCTTTGTGGAGAGAGTCACGCTTTACACTGAATTTAACCCTTAGACATACTGTACACTTTTATTTCTTGTTGAGACTTATGTTTTTCTACATATTATATACAAATTAGGCCAGTAAATAGGCATTTTCTGGGGCTTGGAACGAATTAATCCAGTTTCCATTATTTCCTATTGGTTTCATTGCTTCGGTTCTCGAACAATTTGGTTCTCGACCGTCCTCCTGGAACGAATTATGTTCGAGAATCGAGGTATCACTGTAGAGTGGAAGGGAGATAGGAAGAGAGAGACATTGATATGTGAGAGACATGCCAACTGGTTGCCTCCCACACTACCCTGACCAAAACCTGGGATCGAACCTGCAACCCAGGCACATGCCCTTGACCAGAAATAGAACCCGTGACCCTTCGGTCCACGGGCCAACGCTCTAACCACTGAGCAAACCCAGCCAGGGCAAGACTGGGCTTTTCTGAAAGGACAACCTGGCAAAAGGGTGGATGCTGAGTCCATCCAAATGGAACCTAAGCCCTCGGGCTGGTGCACAGGCTGGAGGGTCTAGGGAAACACATTTTCATATCACATTAGTAGATGGACAGAAACTCTACCTACAGAACTTTCAAAAACTAAGTTCAGATTTTATTAACAAAGCAGTAAGAAGAAAAAGTGGATCTGAATTTCTACAAAACAGTCAAGTTATAAAAGTACATTTATTTTACATTTTATACACAAAGGAACAGTATAACTGCAATGTGGAACAAAAGGGGAAATGATAGGCACATTTACACAGCAAGTATAGGCAAAACTTATGGAGAGTCTTTACATTCTAGCATTTATCAAATCAGTTTCTGAGAGTAATAATTCATCATCTTCAGGAAGAATTTTTAGGAGGCTCCCCTATATGATTCAAGCTGACGATCTTAATGAAAAAATTATATTCATTAGAAATCTCTAAGGTCCAGGAGGCCAAATAAACCAGATCACTACCACTTTTTAAAAGATTCAAAGGCTCTTAAATTAGGATGTCATGACTGCTTTAAATTGTTTTTAAAACAACTCAAACATACTACCATTTGCTGAGTGATACAATATAGACTTAGCTTACATTAATTTCTTAATCCATTAAAATGGTTTCTGTTACCTTACAGTGAGACCCTACTGTTCTCTAATGAGAAACATTAAGTCAGTTACTATTTAGCTCTGATGCAAATCAAAGTGTGTCTTCAGCCTTTAATAACATTAACATACATGAAAATAAAATCAATATACCTATCATCAGTAATCAGTTAACTGCTGGATATTCCAAAACCAGAGATGAGTATTCTTAAGAGTCAAGACTTTCAGACCTCTGCACTAATACGTCCTAGTGCACAGACTTCCTTTAATTTCATCAACACATAGTGCAAGACATGCTGGCGTATCTTTGCAATCTTGCCTTGTAAGTAAGTGCAGACTCGGCTTTCGCTGCTCACACCTTGGTCACCTTTCCTTTGGGTCACTGTCCTTCTGACTGTGTAATGTGACGTCCAAACTGAAATAAAGCAAATGTTTAACACAGAAATTATTCCAATGTAAAAAATAAATTAAAAAAGGGCAACACAAGCACTAAATGACCCCTTGAGGTTTAATTCACTCAACAATAAAGTTATGTGAGAGCGGGCTATGTCAGGCACTGTGCCCAAACCTACACAAAAATGTTCTTTCTTCAAGTTGATTGATTGGAGAGAAAATGCTAAGAACAGTGAACAACTGTGTAATACCTCACTGATCCACTGCCACGGGGAAATAGTTTGTTCTACTTAGTTTATTCAGTCACCCAAGTGAATTTGTTTCTTAGATCACTGAAGATTTCAGACATCCTAGAATTTTAATAAATCAAGTTCTAGTCACTGCTCTGCCAGTCGGGTGTGGGGTTACGGGCAGATTACTTTAGTACCAGGAGGTTCATTCTCCTCATGGGTAAAGCAGGTGACACTGGCCTGGGGTTGGTTTGTTTGTTTGTTTGTTTAGGATACTGCTGTGACGACAGAGTAAGATGAATAAAAAAGCACTTTGCAAGTTCTAAATTTGTACACAGATGTAGGCACATCTGCATTCTTATTATAATAGTTCTAAACCATATACTTTTTTCTTCTTAGAATTAAGGACACAATTTTCTGAGTCAATGTGACAAACACCCGTGACTGCACACACACAGTAGGTGCTCAGACTCCTCGCTGCAGAGCACGGGTGGGACAGTCTCCCCGCTGCGCCAGGCTCCCTGAATGGTTAACTGATCGCTTCTCCCCCTCCTCCTCCACTGACGGCTCCCACCCCGAATGCTCTCCACCTGAATTCAGACTGCCCCTCTTCCAGTCCTCTCATTCCCAAGGCTTATTCTTATGTACTATCTCAGCTAAATTATGAGATGAGAAAAACACCCTCAAAATTAGAATTATGCCTACATTTAAAAGAGACTTCAAGTAAGGAACAATCTTAAAGGTCAAGTGTTTGAAATATAGCATGTGTCCCTTTTAAGCAATCCAGAAGCACTGTCACTAAAGATAATTATGATTCCATTTGCTTTTTTAAAAGCACAGTTAACAGCCCTGGCCGGTTTTGCTCAGTGGTTGGAGCATTGGCCTGTGGACCAGAGTCGCAGGCTCGATTCTGGTCAAATAAAAAAACATCCTCCGGTGAGGATTTTTAAAAAAGGCAGTTAACCCTCTATTTGACTAAACAATCCAAAGTTTACATTTGGCTGAAAAACAACAGCGTGTTCACGTGCAACACGGTCAGCGTGAATCTACCGCACGGCTCTCTGGTCATTCCCAAGTTTCAGAAACCCAGTTCCCGCTGCACCCAGCAACATCAGCAAGCCCCTGGCCAGCACGAAACCTTATAAACTTGGGTGCAATACTTTTCAAATCAAGTGTTTTATTTCAATAAATTTCACAGAAGGCTAAAAGCTAAAATGAACATGTAAAAGTTAACAAAAACAGGACCATTAGCAGCATCAACAAGCAATTGTATAGCCGTTCTGCATAATTACTTTAAGATGGCTGGAAGGCAAAGATATGTCATAAATAAAATACTTTAGAAAAACTGAAAAATTAACTTTACATCAGAGCTCCCTCTTGAACTTTCTGGACTAGAAAATGGAGAAGACTCCCAAGACCTATTTTCTTTCTCAAAGGAATCATCTTCTTGGAACGCAAATTTCCGCTTAAGTGCCTGGGATATTAAAGACACCGGATCCCACTGTGAACTGTGTCTTTTCCTTTTATGAATGGGTCTGCCTCCAGGTGACCTATTTTAAAAAATGCATAAATTAAAATTTTGTGTAATTTAAGGTCCTTGTTGACAAAAAGCATAATGTATTACAACCTAATTACTCTTCAACATTGACATTTTTTCCCATGAATGAAATAGAATCAGAAAACCAAGAAACCAAGTGAGGCTCTACCACAACCTTGTTATGACCTAGGGATTATCAAATACCTCTTTGCTGAGATCTTTATTTTAAATCACCTTATTTTTCAATGGAAATAGCTTTAAAATATTTAAGAACTTTTAAAAGGACTACAGAGTTCATGAAAAGCATTAGGCTAATTGTTCACTCACTCTTCACTTAATGCCTAGTTATACCCGGGTCCGTTTTACACTGAGGGTGGAGCAGTGTCCTGCTCCCGTGGAACATTCCGGTGGAAGATGAATGATGACACGTAAGCAGGATCGCTGGGACAGCAGTCAGTGCTACGGATAACTAAACAGGGTGACGTGACAGGGCCTACACGGAAGCCCTTCAGAATAGAGTAGCAGAAAAGCCTCTTCAGGGAAATAACCAGGAGTCAGTCAAGTGGAAACACTGGTGGATGACCAGGAAGGAGCTTGGCATGTGTGAGAAAAGAAAAAAGAAAACCAGAAACAGCTGGAGTGTAAGGAGTATCGTGGGAAGTAGGACATGAGGTCAGGGAGAAGTCAGGGCTGGATCCTGGAGGGACTTGCAGGCCACAGCGAAGTGTTTGTATTTTATTCTAAGCACCTGGAAAATCTGCAGAGGTTTTAAACAGGGAATGGCATGATTGGCATCAATTTTTAAAGGATCACTCTGGTTACTATATGGAGAAAAACAAGTGAAAATGAAAACAGAGACCAGTAAGGAGGCTGCTGCAGAGGTCCACGCTAGATGAAATGGTGGCTTAGATGGGGGTGGCAGCTGGATCACGAGGGCACACAAATTTGAGTATATGCTGTTGGAAAAACATGCGACAGAAAGGAAAAAACAAGGATGATTCCTAGATGTTTGGACTGAACAACTGATATGCAGAAGTCTGGGAGAGGGGTTTTCAAAGCAAGGGGAGGGAACAGACAGGAAAAAGAGCTCTGTTCTGGGCATGTAAAGCTTGATGCCTGTGAGACCAGCAAACAAAGATGTCAAGCAGGCATTGTCATGAAGGCATAGGGCTCAGGGGACAGGTCAGGGACAGAAAAGTAAATGTGAGGGTCATCAGCATACAGCTGGTATGTACAGACACAGGACTAGAGCTCTCCAAAGAAAACTGGAGAAGAGAAGGGGGCTGAGGTCTGAGCCTTGGACAGGACAACATTTAGAGACCAGGCTCAGAGGCAAAGTAAGCAAGGGAGTAAGGACTGCACTATGAGATAAGAGGAAAACCAAGTCCGATTTCCCTGAAGCCAAGTACAGAACGTGTTCCAAGGAAGAGGGATCCACCGACTATATCAAATGCTGCCAAGAGGACAAGAGGAGCAATAAGATCTCACCACTGACTTTAGCAACATAGAGTGACCAGTGACCTTGACGAGCAGTTTTCCCTGGAGTGATGGGAACAGACACCATGTCACAGTGGGTAGAAGGCAGTGAGAAATGGAAACCATCTATAGATGACATCAAGAATTTATGTCAGAAGACCTACAGCCAACATCATACTCAATGGGCAAAAACTAAAAGCATTTCCCTTAAGAGCAGGAACAAGACAGGGATGCCGACTTTCGACACGCTTATTTAAAATAGTACTGGAAGTCTTAGTCACAGCAATCAGACATGAAGCAAAAATAAAAGGGATCCAAATTGGAAAGGAGGAAGTGAAACTGTCTACTATTTGCAGATGACATGATATTATACATAGAAAACCCTAAAGAATCCATCAAAAATCTACTAGACTTAATAAATGAATTTGGCAAAGTAGCAGAATACAAAATTAACGTCAAAAAATTGATAGCATTCTTATACACCAATGATGAACTCTAAGAGAAACTAAAAAACAATCCCAGCCCTGGTCGGTTTGGCTCAGTGGTTAGAGCGTTGGCCTGTGATCTGGAGAGACCTGGGTTCGGTTCCTGCTAAGGGCATGGACCTCAGTTGCAGTTTCTCCCCAGCCCTGGCTGGGTTGTGCGGGTGGTGGCCACTCGATGGGTCCCTTTCACGTCGATGTTTCTCTCTCTCTCTCCCTCCCACTCTGTCTGAACAAAAAGTGAAAAAATGTCCTCAGGTGAGGATTAAAAACAAACAAACAAAAAAATCCCATTCACCATCGCGACAAAAAAATCAAGATACTTTGGAATAAACTTAACCAAAGAAATAAAGGACCTATTCGCAGAAAACTACAGGACACTGAAAAATAAAACAGAGGAAGATATAAAAAAATGAAAGCATACACCATGTTTATGGATTAGAAGAATCAACATCATTAAAATGTCCATACTACCCAAAGCAATCTATAGATTCAATGCAATCCCCATCAAAATACCAACGACATATTTCACAGAACTAGAACAAATACTTCAAAAGTTCATATGGAACCCAAAAAAACCCCGAATAGCCACAGCAATCTTGAAAAAGAAGGACAAGTAGGTGGGATCACAATACCAGATATCAGGTTATACTACAAAGCGATTGTAATCAAAACAGACTGGTACTGGCACAAGAATAGGCATATAGACCAGTGGAACAGAACAGAGAACCCAGAAATGGACCCAAGGCATTATGCTCAATTAATATTTGACAAAGGGGGCAAGAGCATACAATGGAGTAAAGACAGTCTCTTTAATAAATGGTGTTGGGAAAATTGGGCAGCTACATGCAAAAAAATGAAACCAGACCATCAACTTACACTATACACAAAAATAAACTCAAAATGGATAAAAGTCTTAAATGTGACCCGTGAATCCATAAAAATTCTAGAAGAAAATGTAGGCAACAAAATTTCAGACATCAAACGCAGCAGAATTTTCACTGATACATCACCTAAGGCAACAGAAACAAAGGAAAAAATGAACACATGGGACTACATCAAACTAAAAAGCTCTGCTCAGCAAAAGAAACCATCAAAATGGAAAAGCAACCCACTGTATGGGAGAACATCATTGCAATGATACATCAGATAAGGGGTTAATTTCCAAAATATATAGAGTACTCATACAACTCAACAAAAGAAAGACAAAGAACCCAATTAAAAAATGGGCAGAAAAGCTGAATAGACACCTCTCCAAACAGGACATACAAATGGCCAAGAGACATATGAAGAAATGCTCAACATCACTAATCATCAGAGAGATGCAAATTAAAACAACAATGAGGTATCACCTCACACCTGTCAGAATGGCCACCATCAACAAATCATCAAACAAGTGTTGGTGAGGGTGTGGAGAAAAGGGGACTCTAGTACACTACTGGTGGGAATGCAGACTGGTGCAGCCACTATGGAAAACAATATGGTGTTACCTCAAAAAATTAAAAATTGAACTTCCATTTGACCCAGTGATCCTGTTTCTAGGAATATACCCTAAGAAGCCTGAAACACAATCAGGAAGAATATATGTACCCCCATGTTCATAGCAGCACTATTTACAATAGCTAAGATCTGGAAATAGCCCAAGTGTCCATCAGTAGACGAATGGATAAAAACGCTGTGGTACATATACACGATGGAGTACTGTGCAGCTGTAAGAAAGAAAGATCTCTTATCCTTTGAGACGACATGGAGGAACCTGGAAAGTATTATCCTAAGTGAAACAAGCCAAGCAGAAAAAGACAAATACCACATGATCTCACTTATATATGGAATATAATGAATACAACAGTCTGAGGAATAGGGTAGACCCAGAAACACGGAAGTAGGGTACAGACTGACAACCCTCAGAAGAGGGGGTATGGGGGGTGGGAAGAGATAAACCACAGAACTTATATGCATGTATGCATAACCAATGGACATGGACAACAAAGCCGGGGACCGGGGGAGGATGGGGAGGAGGGTGTCATTGGGAAAAAAAGGAGAAATATCTGTAACAAAAGTAAATTAATAACAAAGAGAGAGCAAAAAAGGAAGGAAGGAAGGAGGGAGGGAGGGAGGAAAGAAGGAAGGAAGATATGAGAGAGAAAGAAAAAAAGAAAGGAAGAAAAAAAAGAAAAATTTATATCAGAAAGGTAAAATAAGTATAATAAGAAAGAAAATAGTAAAGGAAAGATATGAAGAACAAGAATCCTGCCATCAAACTTCTAATAGAGCTCTCCAAGAAAACAGAGGAAAAGAATGGGAGAAAAGTATCAGAGAAATATTTACAAGAGATTTGCACTAATAAAGAACTTAAATCTCTAGACTGAGCCCATAAGCACCCAGTATAACAAATAACCAAAGAACTCTCCAGGGAGATGAGTGATGCCACACATGAGAAAGAGGAAGAGAAACCCAGGATGCTGGTGAGGGCAATCCTTAGGAAGACAGCAATGCATCAGGCTCAGAGAGCAGCAAGTGATTTGGGAGAGGAAAAATCCCGGAAAGGAATTTTTTATAAAAAGGAACTCAAAGAGGCAATTATTAACTCCAATAAAAAATAAAACCATTCAACAAACAAAATGCAATCATAGTATAACACAGCTTACCTGTAAATGTTTACTGTTGTAATAAGAACGTATATTCTACATACTGACTTAACTAAAGACTGTGATTTAACGATATTGGGAAGATGTAGCTAGAAATATATGTGTGCTGTGTGTGAGAGGGTAAAATGTCTATGAGAATACATTCCTAAATCTTTAATAATGGGAAGCAAATATAATTAAAATATCAATAGCAAAACAAGTACATTGTTTCAAAATATGGCGATAATGCACTAGAAGAGTGAAAAAGTTGAAAATGAGGGGCACTTGGGGTAAAGGGAATAAGAGAAGATGTGTATATGTTTACTTTGATAAATATAATTTTTTAAAACTTCCTTGATAAAACGTTGGTTCATTTCTCAAACTATGACAACATACCGTTCAACTGCACGAAGTTTAATCTTATTCATGTCCTTTAGAACATCCAACATGTTCGGAACATCTTTCTTTTCCTGGTTTTCTGAATGACGACTATAATTGGACTTACTAGCACCTGGGTACTGTTTTGTCATTTCAGTTGCTGAATTGTCTGAGTCATAAATACTATTATATCCTGGCTGCACAAGAAAACTTGGAGGCTGTAGAGAGGAAAACTGAGGGGGCAGTGGCGGGGGGAGAGGAGGAGCAGGAAGCCCTGAACTTGCAGATGGATCTGGTTTGACGCTCAGTCGAGCAGTCCCTGAGGATGGCACTTCTCCCAAACCAGCAGGCCCATCAGTCGAGTCAAAGGAGCCTAAAAACAAAGTAGTCTGTTGAAAATTCATGCAAAATTCTCTTTAACATAACACTAATTAAAAGCAAAACAGTACCCTGGCTAGTTTGGCTCACTGGTTAGAGCGTTGGCCCACAGACCAGAGTCGTGGGTTCAATTCCAATCAAGGGCATGTACCACAGTTGCGGTTCAGTCCACAGCCCTGGTCGGGGTCGTATAGGAGTCAACCAGTCAATGTGTATGTCTCTCTCACATAGATGTTTCTCTCTCTCTCTCTCTGCCTCCCTCCCTCCCACTCTATCTGAAGATAAATGGAAAAATATCCTCGAGGATTAAAAACAGAAAAACAGGAACAATTTCTGTAATGCTACTAAAGCAATCCCGTCTGCTTAGTAATTTTTTAAAAAGCCAAGCACCATTATTTACTTTTAATCCAGTTAGGCTTCCCTGTGAAGGCCCTTAAAAGTGGAAAGGGGAAAAAAGATTTTAAAGAGAAAATAAAAAGTGCTTTTTCAGTAATTCATATACAATCCAAATTTCATCCTCCTTTTTAATTTTTTTAAATCCTCACCCAAGAATTCATTTTTATTGATGTGAGAGAGTAAAGCAGTAAGAAACATTCACGTGAGAGAAAAACATTGACCGGTTGCCTCCTGTACACACCCTGCCTAGGGATCGAACCCACAACCTAGCTATGTGCCCTAACCAGGAATCCAACCCAAAAACTTTTGGTGTGTGGGACAATGCTCCAACCAACTGAGCTACCCATCCGGGGCTAAATTTCATCCTCTATTTTAAGAAGCTAAAACATGATCAATAACTGGTAGTTACAAACACTCAAAATGATATACTCTATGATAACATTGTAGAAACACCCAAGCATACATTTTAGGCAAGAGCCTAAGGATGAGTACAGAGTACAGTAGTCTCCTTTATCCCGTTTCACTTTCCATGATTTCAGTTAGCAGCAGTCAGTCAACCTTGGTCCAAAAATATTAAATGGAAGTTCCAGAAATAAACAAATTATAAGTTTTAAATTGCTTGCCATTCTGAGTAGCATGATAAAAATCTCACATTGTCCCACTCCATCCCACCTGGGGTCTCCACACTGTACACATTCCCCACCCATCAGTCACTCAGTAGTTGTCTATGTTATTAGATCAACTGTTGAGGTGTAACAGTGCTTGTGTTCAAATAACTCTTAATTCACTCAATACTGGCCCCAAAGAGGAACAGTAATGATGCTGGCAATTTAGATATGCCAAAGAGAAATTGAGAAGGGCTTCCTTTAAGTGAAATGGTTTGTATGTATAGAAAATAGCATAGTATATATAGGGTGCAATATTAAGCATAGTTTCAGGCATCTACTGTGGGTCTTAGAACGTAATCCCCTTGGAAAAAGGGGGGACTACTGTACTTAACTTTTCACAACAGAGTTGCTCCTAAAAGGCTGTGTGTCACGTGATCGCTTTTTTAAAAAGTGCATTTGTATCACATTTTTATTATTACACATTATATAATATCTATATATTTTTGACATTTTATGTATTATATATTTATAGTATATAATTTATATCTAGATATTATTTATATATAAATCATGTGTGTATGTGTGTGTGTATATATATATATACTTATATATGTTATGTGTGTATGTCTATAGGTTAAAGTAAGTTTTGTCTCTAAAAATGTAGAAAAGGATCATCTGGAGAACATTATTCACCGTACTTGGTGGAAGAATAGCAGCAATAACTTTAAACTACAAATATATGAAACCTTAAATCTATACTTTTCTTTCAAATTAATGCATTCTTCCTCTTAAATTTCCTATGTTTTTCTGAAGAGTTAGACAAGTTTACTTAGAAAACAAGTTTTTCAGTACAAAAGGACAATCTTCTGCAGTACACTCTTCTTTAAACCAAAGCTATCTCCCTCAATACAAATGTATCTTTTTTTTTTCTATTATTTCTTTTTCATCCTCAACCAAGGATATGTTTTCATTGATTTTAGAGAGGGAGGAAGGGAGAAAAACATCAGTTTGAGAAAGAAACGGAGACTGATTGCCAGCCGTATGCACCCTAACCGAGGATCAAACTCAAAACCTAGGTATGTGCCCTGACTGGGAATAGAACCTGCAACCTTTTGTTGTATTGGACAACACTCCAATCAACTGAGCCACCCAGCCAGGGCCAAATGTGTCTTTATTTTAAATAAATATCAGACAAAAACCTTTTATATACCCAACATCCTTTTATGTCATTCACAAGATACGTGAACATCGAGCATTCTTACTCAGAACTGTACTGACTTAAATACTAGGCAAGTATCATCTAACTGAAACAAAAATCCAAATGTTAGTTACCAGAATTTGCATTGTTTTTCAGTTCCTGCATTTCCACAATGGCAGCAATCTGAGAGCGAAGAAAAGTTAGTTCATCTTCAAGGGCAGCTATTTTTTTAATTGCAGCTTCATTTACAGGCTGAGAATTTTTCAGTGGTTTGTTATGTCTTAGAGCAGGTGACAATGGATCCCAAACTAATTGCACAGGATGGAGAGCTTCACCTTTTTCCTCTTCCTCATTTTTCCATATACCATTTCTGTGGGTGGAAAGAAGGAAGAAATGGGGAGAGGAAAAGAGAGGGAGGGAGAGAGGGAAGAGAGAGAGAGAGAGAGAAAAGAGGAGGAGGAAGGGTAGGAAGGGAGGGAGAGAGACAGAAAGAGAGGAGGAGGAAGAGGAGGGGGAAGGGGGGGGAGGAGAATGAGAGAGGGAGGGAGGGAAATTGTCCAAGAGGAATAAATTATTTCAGTCAAAGAGGAATACAGACCCCAAAACAAAATCAGAGCTCTCTTCATCCCATGATTTATCTCTAGACTCACATGAGGAAATAGCTTTCTCATAAATATAAATATAGAGATTCTGATCTTGTTTTAATATAATTCCTTCCTAGGCGTTGTATTAGGTTTAAATTTTCATTAAGAAAACTTGGCTAAATACCAGGAACAAGTAGTAGTCCTTATTAGGAAAATATTAGTAGGAGACAGCACAGTAGAGACAGACAAAACAAAAAGGCTCAATGAGTCTGAACAAACTTCAACACATCCAAGAATTCAGATTACAGCCCATACCCCATTTTCCAAGATAAGTATATAAAATTACCGAAATCTGAGATAACTGGCTTCTTCATCATTTGCCACACACAAAATATCAGCAAAAGATGGAACTACAGATCCACAGTTACCAGAGTCTACAGAGTTCAAGAGTGGGATCAACTAAAGGGAAAAGGGGAAAAAAAGTCAGCGCTCTACAGGGAGTGGGGGGAAGACACATGCATGGAGATTAAATAAGCTAAAAATCCAAGAGGGAAAAGGAAAAAGAGATATTCAATAGAAAACCATGCACCTATTAGTAAGAAAAATATTTTAAAGTCTAAACATGTGGCAATATTCCTTCCCCTGGTTAATGTCATCTATGATAAATCACAAACTAAAAGAATAAAAAAGTGTACTCAGGTATTGCTTTGCACCTGCCCATCTTTGAAGGTAATTATTTAAAGAAATAAATGCAAACACATACGTGAAAATGACTTGTTTACAGGGATAAAGGTTTTTGCAGGAAATATTTCTTCGTTTGTTCTACCCTATATCCCTAGGAGTACCTAGTTATTTTATACACAGTGATTAAACAATGCATGTTGACTGACTTACCTCAAAATCAGGCCTTTGACAAGGTTCTAAAGGAAGATATTTCCCAATAATACGAACAATACTCCGAGCTGATCCATAGCCTTTATTTCCCCAAATCTGCAAAACCTATTTAAATATAAAGTGTTGTTTTAAAAAGTACTCCTTTAAGCATGTTTATATATCTAGTTTTTAAAAAGCAGATGTAAAAAATTGCATTTGCATTTGCAATTGCATTTATTTTTAAAAAGAAAATATAAAATGATGTACACAAAGTCTTTTCTTTAAAGAATGATATTTTACACCTACACCAGATCTCAATTCAGACATTTCAAGTAATTAAAGGCAATATCTGGCCAATAGCGTCCACACTGAACAGTGTAGTCTAGAGGATATAGATCACAGACCTATTAACTCTAGAATCTCTGCCAGCCTGAGCAATTATATTTAGTGTCCTACTATCACTCACATGTGTACCCTTGCTAAGAACCACAGGCCTACAGGCTTCACTACAATAAGAGCTACATACTGCCAACAAATAGTCATCCTATTCTTGGTTAACTTGAGTGGTACCTTCATATCTTGCTCTGCAATTTCCATCCTGACAAACTCTTGTCCTTCTAACTCTCTCATTCCTTCATTGCCATTGACCATCTTCACCATTTTTAAGATTTCATCTCCTTCTTCTATTCCTGGTCTAGGACCCCCATTTTCTTTTTCTTTTAATCCTCACCCAAGGATATGCTTATTGGTTTTAGAGAGGGAGGAAGGGGGAGAGAAAGATCTGTGTGCAAAACATCAATAGGTTGCCTCCCGTATGTGCCCAGGCCAGAGATCAAAACCACAACCTCTTGTTGTACAGGACAATACTCCAACCAACAGAGCCATCCGGTCAGGGCCCCTCATTTTGACTTGACTGACTTTCCTACCAAGCAGGGATTTTCAAGTTGTTTCAGAGATACATTCTCAAAAATGGTTCATCCTTTTGAAATTGTGTGTTCTCGTATTACTAATGAATAAACTACCCCAACTACTCTTAGAGAAAAATATTACAACACAATATTTAGAAAGACTACAGATCCATGCTGACTTCACCTGGGTATCCTGCACAGTATTCTGCAACCCCCCTTGTAACACATTATCTTCTCTACTGTGTTGTCCAAAGTAATCGCCAATCTCTGAAATCCCCACCACCACCACTTCCATCACCCACAAGTGGTCTCTCCCCTCCTATTATTGAAAAAAATATCAAGAACTACAATTTGATATACCTCAATTTTCATTCCTCTCCATTCAAAATCTCCCCACCATCTCTCACTGTTATTCTACTCTTGACTGTCCAGCTTCTTTCCAAGGCTTATTTATTTATATCCCCTGCTCCCAACTACCTTCTTCCGGGCATTGCTCAATCACTCTCATCTGTATCTTAAATATTTTCCTGTCCATAAGGGTCTTCCCCAGTGCTTGCAAATATGATGAAGTTAATTCTAACATTGAAAAGAAAAGAAAAATTCATTCCTGCTACTCCTTCAAGTTAATGGTCTTTCTTGATTTCTTTTCACAAACTTTTCAAAAGAAGGTTGCTAATGCCACCTCCCTACCTCAGACAAACATCAAACTACTACTATAAAACAGCTGTCACTCTCCACCTACAGAAATCCTTAATGGCACCAATAATATAATGATAAGCAAATCTCCTATTATTATTCAGTTCTCATTATCTTTAGTCTCACTATTTCTGAAATTCAAAATGCTCATCAAAATCCACAGGTTCAAATCTCAAAACCAACACAGATAACTCCAAATCTGAATCAGGTCTTTTTTTCCCTACAGTCTAAAACCATTTATCTCATTATCTGCAGGATATTTGTACTTATATATTCTAACAATACATTTGGCTCATCTTATCTCCCTACTCAAATTAATTCCTCATATTGAGTTGCCTATTTATAAGAATGGCACCATCATTCTTCAACTTACTTTTGTTTAAAATTTTGAAATTATCCTTGACTACTCTCTTCTAATGCACCACACCAAATGGTGATGACGTGTCTATTCTATAAACCTCCCTACTATTCGTGTCATATATTCAGTCTTGTATTATACTTATCTGTATATGTTGGGTGGTCCTCATATTTTAAGCACCATAAATACAAGAACCATGTATTGCCATTCTGTATCACCTACAGAACCAAGCATATTGTCTTACATGTAATAGATGCTCAGTAAGTAGACAAAATTGGATTTGCTTTTAATTCTCACTTAAGTCATCCTCTCTCCTTAAGGTTTATCCTGAATGTTTTGAGCTATAACTTGCTATTCTATATCCAAATATTAAACCTAGTTACCTTAATAAAATTGCTAGATGATTAAAAATATAATTTACCTATGCAATAATTGAGTTATATGAAGGTCATGTCTATATTTTGTTTGTTTGTATCTTTTGCTGGCATTTGACTCATCAGGTAAGTAGGTTCCTAATGATCTTACCTGTTTTTAAAAACCAAACTATCAAAGCTAAACTACTGTAAACTCACCTTGGTTACACCTAAAGAGAAATAACAATTTCACCTTTTATGTTTACATATAAGGCATTTTCAAAGTGAGACCCAAGAATAAATACAACAGGTTCATTCAAATCCATTAAAAAATATTTACCTGATCCATGGGAATACCAAAATATTCCAGTATGTCTCTTAAGATATGCAATATGAGAGACATTGATGAAGCAGGCACAGAAGAAAATTCAAAGAAACATTATCAGTTTCTTGATACCTTCAGCAAAAACAAACAAACAAAAATTACTCTTGACAAATAGCTGCCACATAAATGGTCTCAAACAAACTGGAAGTCCTATCACTACACATTACACCACTAAGTAATCTCTTCTAGCCAGCATTATTTTGAAGGAAGTCAAAGAGAAAGAGAAGCATGTGAGTGGGGAAGGCCTGGTAAGGAAACTTAAATGTATCGCCGGCGGTGCGGCCCAGTGGATGAGCATCGGCCCAGGTACTGGGAGGTCCGGTTCGATTCCCGGTCAGGGCACATGCCCGGGCTGGAGGCCCCATCCCCAATGGGGAGCATGCGGGAAGCAGCCGATCCGTGTGCCTCTCACATTGATGTTTCTCTCTCTCTCTCTCCCTTCCTCCTACAGTTTTACCAGGAAAACTGCATTAAAAGTTCATGGGATGTTTGAGCCTAATAAATATCAATCAGTAACAGACTTCAATAACAGACTGGGTCCTTAGCTGGGAAGCCTTCGAGCTGGTGGGAGCAGAAGCTCCCTCTGTCCTGAAAGCTTGGGAGGACTCGGGAGGGGGTGTCGTCGGCCCCCCTGGGAAGCAGGCCTGGGGCCGACTGGAGTCTAACGAAACGAGCAGGAGCCCCTCCTCACAAACGGAGCAGAGCACCACCCCCCTCGCCCATTCTGAAGATGAAAACCGTGAACTCCAGCTCGGAGACCCAACTAGCAGGTAGCCGGTCGTGTCCCTCGCCTGGGTCGCAAGCTTCCTTGGTGGCTCTCCTAACCGAGCACAGTCGCCCTGCTCACCTTCCTCCGAAGCCGAGCCTCCCGGCAAACACGCGAGCATCAGGACGCGGTGGTTAAGGGCACTGCCTCGGAATCCTCCGTCCCCGCGGCCCGACGTGCGCTCGTCCCACTTCAGGAACGCGCAGGCCCGCGTCCGCCCGCGCCTCGGCTTTCCGGCCACAGGCGGTTTGACGCCCCCACCGACCCGGGTCTGGGCCCTGGAGCCCTCGCTGAGCCAAGGTAACTCCACCTGAGGCGCGGTCGCCTCCTCTCGTGTCCCGCCCAACCTGGCTCGCTACTTCCGCGTCCCTAGACGAAAATCAAACTCCGCGGGCCGTGACCTGTGCTCGATTTCATTGGACAAGGCTGAAGATCGCTGCTTCTGATTGGTTGAGCGATAACGTCAGGTTAGTATTACTGTTATCTGGACATAGTAGCATTTTCCTCTCCTTTAAGAGGGCGGGCTTGCCGCGAGTCAGCCAATAGGAACCAAAAAGCACCGGGGGGGGGGGGGGCGGGTCGTACGGGGACGTAGACGCACGCACCCGACGGGGTTTTAAGTTTTCCGGATGCTCTCAAAGATGGGCGTCTACGGCCGGGCGTTATGAAGCCATTATGCGTCCTTGAGCCAGACCCGCGATTAGGAGTACCTGCTCTCCACAGATCTTCGCAGAAAAAAAATATGTACACCTATCCCTAGACCGGAAGCGGGGCCACTCTCCTGAGTCCGCTTGCCGCGGGAAGTCACTATTGTTTGATCATTTCTTTCAATTAGTGAACATATATCTTACGGGACTAGGAAAAGCTAAACACTGTTCTCGAGGAATCTGCAGCTTTACAGTACTTATAATGTTCGTTCACGAAACGCCCCTGGTTATCCAGGCTACCAAATACGGACCGGACACTGACCTGGCCTAACTGGGGATGGCAAAGTGATCATAAGTCATGACAGGTGATATTCCAATTTTCAATTATGATCTGAGGTTATTGGCTTTTTAAGAGACAACAGCTTCCTCTTCTCGTATTTTAGCAAGGGATGCAATAGTTATATGACAATTTAAGATCAACTGTGCACGAGGAAATGCAAAAATAGGCAAGATAGGTAAGGTCCTTGCCCTCCTGGAACTTACCTTCTAGTGGAGACTTCAGAGAGGCTTTCTCTGAGCTCCCTATGGAGATAGCATCTCTCCACTCTCCTTTTTTCTTAAATATGGTTTTATTGATTTTTTAGAGAGGAGGGGGAGAGCACTAGAAACATTAGTGTGAGAGAGCTCCATCAGCTGCCTCCTTCACGCCCCACACTGGGGATCAAGCCCGCAATCCGGACATACGCCCTTACTGGGAATCCAACAGAGACCAGGCTCAATCCACTGAGCCATACTGGCGGGGCCCTTATTTTTCTTCATAGCACTTGTCACCATGTATAATACATGGTGGAACAAAAGTAGGTTTACAGTTATGAGTACTTCGTGAAAGTTTATTCTTGTATTATTAATTATTGTATTTTTCATTTGAACTAAAAAACTACTTTTGCCCGCCCTGTACTTATGCTCCTCCTGTAGCCAAACTAAACTGGGAACTCCAGAACAGGAACTTTATTTTGACCCACACTGTATCTCCAGGGCTTTAGAAGAGTGCCTGGTATATATAATAGGCATTTAACCAATTTGTTGAATAAAATAATTGGATATGGAGTGAGAGAAAACAATCACCAAGAATGATTTGGAACTAAGCAACTGGCAGAACACTAGTGATTGTAGTTGATAGGCCCAGTAGTCTAAACTAGATCATGAAAGTAGTGGCAGAAGTGGCAGACAATGTACAAGTGTAAGGGAAATGGATCAGCAATCCTACATGAAATTAATAAACCACAGCATTCTTAATATTACTTGCCCTTCTCTTTTGCCCTCATAAGTAAATAATGATCTTAAAACCTCCCATTCCTGTCTAATAGCAAACAGCACATAATAGTGACCAGAACAAAAGTATCCCTTGAGAACATAACAGAAACCAGTACTAAAGCCTCCTTCAGGCTTTACTATTAACAAAACTCAACATTTAGCTCCGAGTTAAATAGTAAGGTGGGCCCAGGTCAAATGCTACTACTGCCCCACCATGAATGCTTTGCTGACAGCTTTCCCCTAAAATTAATTTTTCTAAGATCCTTTCTCCATTTTGTTTACTAAAGCATTCATACATACTACATTTCGGTAGTCTTGAGATTTGACATTTTTCTATTGCTCATTTCTACGTGAAATTATTCTTCTGAACTTTGAGAATGATGCAGGATTCAGAAAAGCTTCTGACTTTGCATAGCACCTTTTCTATTTTTTGAGTAGTGCTCAGAAATATGGCTTGCTTTCTAAGATTTTCTTGGCTGTATTCCCCTCCATGTTTGATCTAGCACCTTCATTTGTCTATTCTCTCTCTCCTGCTTAATTTTATTCACTTTTAGTACTTTCTCAGTGTGGAATTGGGTCCCTAAAAGGCAGTCTTGTCTTGACATATCCGTTTTGTTTTGAGATTTCACTAGGGTAATCTACCCCAATCTCTCCATTCCTTACTGTGTGTACCCTGCACTCACTATTAAAGAAGAAAATCTCAAGTTTCAGCTGGCTGATGTGGGATTCTCCATTTCTCATGTCAGAAGCTACCCCAATTCTTCTACTGCATAGAAATCAACACCAGGCAGACTGATGGTTTGCCCCCATTTGCTGACATTTGGGGGTTCATGAGAAAAGCTTGTCACTTAGTTTAATTGCAAATGTCGTCCATAGTTATTTGGTTTTGGTATCTAGGTGTTCTTCCAGAACCACTAATACATTCTAATCATCGTACTATGTTCTGGATCCCCAACCAAGAATATTTAATTCACCTATACACCCACTGCCAGGTATACTTTTTCAGTGGGGAAAGAGGCAGAGGGCTGGTTTGGACATCAACTAGAAAGATGTGTATTCAGTCTTGCAAAACGTCCAGCAGAAATCCATTAGCCTTGTGATGTAAGCCTAAATTTTAGATAATTGCTGTAATTATTTTAAATAGAATACAACACAATATACTGTCAAAGAATACAATAGCCTCTCCAATCTTTTTTTTTTTTTGGTTGTTCAGACAGAGTGGAAGGGAGAGAAACATCAACGTGAAAGGGACACATCGAGTGGCTGCCACCCACACAACCAACCAGGGCCGGGGACTAACTGCAACCGAAGTACGTGCCATTAGCAGCATCTGAACCTGGGTCTCTCTGGACCACAGGCCGACGCTCTAACCGCTGAGCCAAACCAGCCAGGGCAGCCTCTCTAATCTTAACAATGAGTCTCATGAAAGGGTGATCATCAGACTGGGAGGTACATGCCCATAAAGTTCACCTAAGTTTTATATTTCAAAAAGAAAAATATTTAGGGCCTTTTTCCTTGTCTTGCCTATGCTTGAAGCCTCTCAGGGTAGTAGTAACACAGTCAACTGAAACAGACTGGTTGCTATTTAAGATTACACAACTCTTAAAGGGTCATTGAAACTTTACAATTATTTATTCAAAAATTTTAGAGACAAACTAAGACCAAGATTTCCTTGATATTAAGATGTCAAATTAAATTATCCTGAAAATTTCCTCTGCTTTCTTCTGTAGACAATAAAAGTGATTAATGAAAATCAAAATAGAAGCCTCTTACCTATATATTTAAATTGCTATTTAGTGATGTAACATGAAAATTACAAAATCTAAGTTAAATGTTTATAGTCTAAAAGCAGAATTTATTTGCATCTTTAAATAATTTTATATAAAAGTCTAGCCCAGCCGGTGTGGCTCAGTGGTTGAGCGTCGACCCATGCACCCAGAGGCCGCAGGTTCGATTCCCAGTCAGGGCACACACCCAGGCTGTGGGCCAGATCCCCAGTAGGAGGCATGCACAAGGCGGACAAGCAATGTTCCCTCTCATCAACGTTTCTCTTTCCCTCTCCCTTTCTCTCTTTCTAAAATCAAGAGAAAAAATTTTTAATAAAAATAAAAGCCCAGGTTATGCTTAGTATTTGAATCCAAAGGGCTTGTGTGTTTATAACTCGCTATTTTTAAACAAACAAAAAAAAACTGTACTATAGCTAGATTTCTCCAAAAGAAAAAGGTTAACCATTGTTTGATTTTTCTAGTTCCATTATTTTTAGATTTGTGACTTGACAGTCATCTGTTTAATCATATGCTCACAAGTAGGAATGCTTTGAATCTTGTCAATCACTTAAGAGTTG